ACTGTATGCCAGTATGTAGCATCTTGGCCACTGTATGCCAGTATGTAGCATCTTGGCCACTGTATGCCAGTATGTAGCATCTTGGCCACTATTGGCCATATTACAACATTTGTAATCTCATTTTCACAACTCATACACAAATATAATTATTTTATCAATGGGGCGGAAATTATTTAAGGGGCAATACTTTTTATAAATACTTTGACTAATATAATGTATGCTATGTGATCTTATATGATAGGTAAATTACAGTATTACCGTACAAGTTTTATTCACCGAAATACAAAGTTTTTATTTTAATTTATGAAATTTTATTATAATTGAATCAATCAAATAATTAGTCTTACGACTGACTAATTATTTTCATTAAACAATTTAAAAGTTATTAACAAATGTATTAAAATTATAAAACTAATTATATTATAACGTTACCATTAATGCTTTCACTTGTTATCCCATTTAATTGACTATTAATTATTAATAACTTATTAAACAAACTAATTATTAATTATTAATGTAACTATTAATTTAATTATAGTTATGATTGATAAATTATAATAAAGTAACAAAGTTTTTGTAACATTTAATTTAAAGCATAACGTTGTTTATGAATAAATGTGAATATTGTGATCACATTTTGAAACTATTTGTTGTTATTTTGAAATACAATTAAATTGTTGTCATATTTATGTGGATATGAATTGAATTAGCATTTCATACAAATTATAATTGAGTTCAAAATCATATCAAACAATGGATTCAAAGAAAGGTAAGAAAAGTGATTGAATTTGATGACAAAACTTGTGGTCAAATATGTGAAGATATGTTCAAAATATTTCTAACGAGGAATGTATTGCTTAGAGAAATACAAATCTTTACCACAAGAAGTGCTATCAGTTGGCCATCGGATCGGTTTGAAGCAAAGCAGTGACACTGATATCATCGACTCGTTTGTGAACCAAGTTTTGCCCAAAAGTGTCACTGAAGGCGAGCTCCGGTTTACGACATATCTGTTGAATGAAAACCGGAAGACAACTGAAACGAAGAAAGAGTCGAAACGCCGAAAGAAATGCAAATTTGCTCTCAAATTGACGGCAAAAGAGAGGAAAAGTTTGTTTCATTTGAGTAAAAATGATGTCAAATACGAGACGTTTGACAAAATCAATCATTTGTGGCATAAATACATCGATTCCGTGATGAATGAGATCAAGTCGAAGAGTGATGAAATCAAACTGATTAGAGCCGACTTCCACGGCTCCTTCTTCGTGGTGTCCGCCGCTAAGAACCCGACATTAGTTGGCGTTAAGGGATATG